AGAGAAAAGAGAAAAAAAAATTATTAGATGTGTTGATTTTTGAATGAAAGGATTACAATAACCCTGAAGCATATTAAATAATTGCGTGAGACTTGCATATCGTCATGACCTTTAGATGTGACATATTCTATACATTGGGGTAACCACAGTAAGGCTAGATCCTAAGTTGTCGGCACGGGCTTATACATATTTCCAAATAAACCGATGATTGAAAATGACTCTAGTTTTTTAATTTTTATTTAATGCAAATTGAGACTCCAGCCCTAGTAAGTCCATTCAATTACAAATTCATATTGTTTCATCTACAGTCTTGTGTGCTAAATAGTACGATGCTTGCAACCATTAACAAATATGTCTACACCAAACCTATTTTGAGCCTGTTTGTTTAATCTTTTTATTAGAAAAGTGTTTTAATTAAAAAAGTGCCTAAAATATTATAATTATTAGATAAGTTTGTTTTAAAAAAATAAATCAAAAACTAAAAACAAAAAACAAAAATAAGTTTTAATATTTATCGTGTAAACTAGGAAGGATAACTTCCAAAAAATATTATTTAACTCGTTCAAATGCACACTTTAGTATCTCTTCATCAACACAAAAGTCATTAACTTTCGATACAAGAACATGATAATATGGAACGGTATGTATATACTGGTAATACCAGATGTGGAAAAAAAAAGGGTTATATGAATTGTTAATTGAAAAACCCATTCTCTTTGATTTCTTATTAGGGATTCTATTCTTAAAGGCTCATAATTTTAACTAGGAAAAGACTTAAAGCCTGTTTGAAACATTTTTTTTTTAATTAAAAGCTATTTTTAAGTTAAAATTTAAAAAGAGTTTAAAAAATAAAGCTAAAAATTATTTGATAATTATATATGATTGTTTTTAGAGTTTTGAAGCAATGAAGATGTAATGATTTGCTATTAGGGTAAATTACAAGGATAAATAATAAAATTTATAAATAAAAATTTAGAATAAGAATATAATTAAAAAATAAATATAAGAAATCTAAAAAGTTAATATACATCTTTAAAAAAATATCTTAAATTTTTTTTTTCCTGAAAACTTTTAGCTTTTCACTTTTTTTTTTTATGATAAGAAATTTTATAAAATTATATTGAATTGAATTTCTCCTTATAAGAAAAAGAAAAATTAAAAATAAGAACTCTCAAACAAGCATTTAGATAATCGCTGGTGCGGCATCAATACTAGACGATGATGATTTTGGCGTTGACAGAATGAGGTAACTAAGGAAAGCTACCGAAGGCACGGCAAATTGGCAATCCTTCAATATCGTATCTGATTAACATCTGACTCAGAAAATATGCACCAGAATTAAGAATGTGCAAAATAATCAAAAAAATTGAACCGAACCATGAACTAAATCGCTTTTTAAAATAACCGGTTTTTAAAGAATCAGTTCATAAACCGAACCAAGTTTTAGAACCGGTTTTTAAAATCGGTTTAAGAACCGAACTATTTTAAACCAAACCAAACCGTTTCTGAACCGAACTGCTTTCAAACCGAACCAATTTAATTTTTATAACTTTATTTTTTAATATTTTAATTTTTTTTCTTTTCAAAAGAGGATTGACCTGAACCGGTTCAAAACCGAACCGTTTCCGAACCGATTTCGAACCGAACCACTTTCGAATCGAACCATTTAAACCAATTCGATTCAATTTTTTAAAAAAACTAATTCGGTTCAACTCATGCACATCACTTGTTATTCTGATCCAGACACACGGTGGCGATGAAAGCACAGACAAGTCCTCGCAATAATTATCACACAATTAAATTATCTAACGTCTAAATGACCTGCACAATAATAGACCCAATTGATAGAAAAGTCAACATCCTCATCCTTTTGTAAGCTGTGTTTTAAATTGGCACTCCACCAGAGCTAATAGGACAAAAGACTGAAAGAGGACTCTTGCTTCCTTGGACTATATTATTCAAAAGCTCAGCTTTTATCAGAGTCAAATTTAATGCAGAAGATCCAATAATATTCTCCCAGCTAATCTCAAAGCTCTATTTGAATCACCAGAGTGAAATTCCAACAAAATGACTTGAACTAAAATATATTACCAGTAATGTACCAATATATATATATATATATATATATATATATATATATATATATATTACCAGTAGTGTACCAATATATATATAGAGCTATGATCCTTTGACATCAGTGTTAAATTTGAAATTTGACACCTCATCTGATAGCCGTTAGATAAAAAAAATCAACAACTCTGATTTGTAAGCATATGACGCCGTTGATCTTTTTTTATCTAACAGCTATCAGATGAGGTGTCAAATTTGAAATTTGACACTGGTATCAAAGGATCCTACCTCATATATATATTATATATATATATATATATATATATATATATATATAGGGCTTAACATTTCTGCAGCAGCCGTAAATAGTGTTATCTACAGCTGACACAGAAAAGTGGACCCCACGATTTTTTTTTTTTTAAAAAAAAAAAACTCAGGATCCGTTGCCGTATCCTAGGATCCGGACGCGGATCCTTACTTGCTGTAGGTACAGCAGCTGCAGAAATCATTTTGCCATATATATATATATATATATATTACCAGTTACAACTGTGCCAAAACAAGCACAACCTCTCAATCATCAATCTGTTTTGTCAACTAGTTTAGTTTGTTTGAATGCAAATCCATTTATGATCAATGGGCAGTTTGGCCATTTCATTAAAACTAATTTAGTTTTGGCTCTATGTTCGCTACAGCTTCCCTGATCTCATATTAAAGGGCAATAAACCGTCCTGCATAAGGGAACAAACTAAATCCAGCCCTTCTCTTTGCAATTGTGTAGTTGGAATTTTCAGTCTCTCACAAAACTGCAGTCATGGCAATTCAATATTCAAGGTTCTCACTTCTGATCTTGATGATCATATTGATGATTAGCCAGCTCTCAAGTTGCTGTGAGGCTAGCAGATGGATGAGTAAAGAAATCGAGCAAACGGAAAAAAGCATCTCTTTTCAGCAGTTCTCAATCTCATGGCATTTCTATACAAAGACACAACAGGGACCCATCACAAAAGAGGTCCACCCAATTTATGGAGTTTCTCTCCGAGATGTTCCAGGGGGTCCAAACCCACTCCATAACTGATCAACTATCTAGCAATCTGCTATTTATGAAGTTATACAAGTTTTTGCAGGCTTATACTGTAAAATATTTTAGTTTCCCATAAGAGATGTAGAATAGATAAAGTTTGGGAGAATCATAAGCCTAGTCTTCCAAAGACACAGAAACTGTACTTTCGGTGGAAAAATAATGAAATATGCAGACATTTGCCCAAAAACTAAAGTTTGTCCTTGTAAATTGTGAAAGGTAAATTATATTTAAAAGGCTACGCTATGATCTATGTACTACCCTAGTTGGGTATCTGAATGATTTCTGAGGAGAAGTATACAAAAGGAACTTTTATTATGTTAGCAGTATAATATAATATAATATATAAAATTATTCATTTACCTTTACCTAACAACTTGGATTAAATTAATTTTTTATATAGTATCAAGGTCTCTATGACAAAATGGTTTAAAGATGATCCTTGTCACCCCTATTCTTTTAATAAATATTGTGAATTTTTTAACAAAAGGTAGATGGGTAATGCATTATCTATCTTTAAGTCCAATGAGTTCTTGTGTAAAAGAGAGTATTAGAAATATAATTCAATATATAAAATTAATCCATATGTTCTCACCTAATAATTTAAACTTTTGAATTGAATTGATTTTTTAAATATTAAATTATGGACTGGGAAGGGAACATATTTAGGTGATTGTGTAACAGAATTTGGTGATTTAAAACCTGACCATTTTTCCTTCATGTTAGATATTTTATCATGAGTTCCTTTTTGGTAATATTCACTAATTACTTTCATTCAATTCCCCGTAAAATAATTAAAAACAACATAGATAATAAGAGTTTTAACAAGAAAGGTTAAACATGAGTGAGTAGTCTGCGTGTAAAAAAGCAAAACCTGTATATTTAGTCAACAGCCAAAAGAAAAATATGTCAGCATATTACTGACAAATTTGGCTTAATTATATGTCACCAGCGACAGGAATACTACTGCAGAATTCATGTTGTTGAAAATTTTAAATTAAAACATCAGAGTCATAGTGTATTTGTATGTTTGTTCATCTGATTCTCAATTCAGATGAACAAACTCTGTTTTTAAACAACTCCAAGATAGATGATACACCATGGTGGAAAATGCAAACAAAGAAGGTAGACACTTGACATACATGCATACTGACTCAAACTTTGTTCATGATCATGCAAAAGACTAGGATCAAGAAGCTAGTGATGGATAAGAAAAAAAATTCAGTGGGGTTGCTGAAGAAAAATAATGCATTCCCTGACTAGACTTCAACTCAAGATCACCTTGTCCAACCCCTGCCCCCCACAAGACATTACTCGTCATAGTGGCTGAACTGATACCTAGGGGTGATCACTGGTTGAGTTAGGTCAGTTTTGGGCAAAACTAAAAACCAAATCGATCAAGTTTAGTCAGGTTGGGTAAGGTCTGATAGAGAGCTTTTTTTTTTAATCAACCCAAACCAACCCAATCTGATTATAGTTGGGTTGGTTCAGAACGAATGAATGGGTTGATAGTTTTAAAAACATTTTTAAAAAATATAAAAATTAATATAATTAGTTTGGTTCATATTCAGGTTGGAAAAAAGAAGAAGCAAAATCCGATACCTGAAGTCCTGAACCGATTGAGATTGGGTGGGTTCAGGTTGAACCAAAATCAACTCGATTATTCAATCCAACACATTTTATGGACTGGTTTGGATGGGACTGATTTGGTCATCAAGTCAAATTAGATCCATGATCACCCCTAACAATACCTATTAAATTAGCATACCTCCATAAAATCTATTGTATTGCATGTATACGATAACTTCTAGGAAAAATAGAAGAGTATCTTGTAGGCCTAATTTTGACGTTAAGTAACAGCAAATTTAACCAAAGCAATAGAAGATAGCAGGTCCAGAACCTATTAAGCATTTAGAAAATATACATATACAAATTATACAGGTATGCAAATAAGCAACAAAAACTTCCTTGAGGCAATTAAGTTACAGAATGTTGCAGAAAGAAGTGGACACCTACACTATATTCATAATTCAGAGCAAAAGAACGTGTAAGTGGAAAGAGAAAGCGGTAAATAACCTTCATCCTTGTTCTTGAGAGGAAGAGGAAACCAAGCCGCATCTCTTGTTGAAAACCTGCAAGAATATGGCATAAAATATGAGGAATATGTATCTCACTTCCACCTAAGCCAATTAAGTAAATAGTAAAAACTTACCGTAAGTCATCCTCACTACATAATCTCAGTTCCCACTGGATCAACAGAGAAATGAAGAGACAATGATTTCTGGACAATAGGCTGGAACTTAGACAACCATATCTGTTTTCCAAATTCAAAGACAATTTAGATTCTTGCTGTGGTTGTTTTCCAAAAGATATAATTAAAAACAGTGGTATTAGTTCAGTTTTATAAAATATATTTAGCTCTAGGAAATTATATTTCAACTTTGTCATCAGAAGTTCATCTCAATGGGTTAATATAATCAAAATGAAAAATGCCCAAGTAAAAACGACAGTGTCAGCCAACAAATCAGAATTTTGTCACTTACCAAGAGAAAATGACAGCATGAACCCAAACAAAAATTCTGAATTATATTGTTTACTGAAAAGGGAGACTGATACGACAGTCGTATAAGAGTAGTGTAGGAAGCATTATAGCATATTCCCACCTCTCAATATTGACTCGGCAAAATGGTTAGTTAGTAGAGAATATTCTAGAAGTGGGTGTGGATAATAAATAGAAGAGGAATGTGAAGTGTGCGGCATCTAGAATATGGCATTGGATTGGAACTTTGGGAGAGAGTGAGGCCTCTCCAATTGTCTCACATTATCTTTTACATTTCCGTATTGTTATTTCATTTCCAGTTCCTTGTAAATTTCCTTTTCCTTGCCATTGTGTCTCTGTTTCACTGTCATTAGTTCTGTAATTGTCTCTATTTTCCATAAATATATGAAAATTCTGGGTTACCAGACCAAAAATACCTTGTTCTCTCTCTGTTGTTGTTTTGTATTTGGGTTAGAGGACTCTATCAGAGACATTTGGAATCATTTTGCATTTGAACATGGCATGAAGGAGAATAAGGGCCGACCCAGTTCAAATACCCACTTCGTGAGTGTCTGGGGAAGGGAATACTCTAGGCAGTCTTTCTCCTGCTTTTTGCAGAGAGGCTGATTCGAACCCGCGACCTGACACACCACGGCAAGCAAGCTTACCGCTGAGCCAAGCCGGCCCTTCCATGAAGGAGAATATAACATCTATTACTTAAGCACATGCTACTTTAGACCAAAAGTTGTATAACAAATAACAACCCAAGCATTGTTGTCTAAATGTGCAAGAAACAACAAATTAGGTTCCTTACATCTTGGTACTCTTTGCTGTGTATAAATATCTTGAATGCCTCAACTGCAAAACATGCCATCATGCACCAGTACCAGTCAACATGACCAAGGAGAAAGAAAATCAGATGTTACAGACCATGAGATTGAGATCACCTGATCGAAATCGTATCACTACTCCATGAGTATACTCCTTAGAGCTTGGACTAAAATTAAGACCTGGCAATTGAATAGTAATAGGTATAAAAACTTAGTGAAAAATATTTTCTTAATACAATCCTTAACCAAGTTAAATAAAAACTAAGAAGGCAATAACTGAAAAAGTGGAAGCATGCCTTGAGTAAATTGGACTATCAAGGAAGGAGATCCCAACATCATCGATGCCAGAGAGGCCAATGCATGTTCCACCAGATTACCCAATGCAACCTTATTAAATGATATCAGAAGCACAAACTCCACACCATGGTTGAACTCCTGGCCACAGTATTCATTTGAACCACCCCCAAATATTTATTTTTAGAATCAGAAACCGAGCATACCACAAAGAGACATGAACAAAAAAGAGGTCGATGAATCTAAAGTACAAAGAAACAAATACCTAGAACACAGATGCATTTATGTCAATTTCCATTTACAATGCTGTCTATCATTTTTATAATGAACATAAAATCTGTGGTCCCTAGGTCATGGTCAAATATGAATTGGGACATCAATATTTAATGAACAACCCTTTAATTTATAAATCGAGAAGAGGAAAGTAAGTTAGTCCCAACCTCTCCTTTGCGAAATATAGAAAGCATATCATCTTCCACTTCGGACTCATAATCGACATTAATTAATCCCTGAAACAGAACTCAGTAGAGGACCAAGTTAAGACATTCACAGTGAGGTTCACTAAACAATAATAGAAAAGTAAAGGAACAGAGAATCGGTGTTTACATGTTGGTGCATACATGGCAGTAAGTCATTACATGGTCCTTGAGAACTTTCAAGTAAAAGGGATTCTCGTAGAACTTTTCGAGATTTTCCTTCCTCTGAAACCGCATATATAGAGCATGCGTATAGTGCTCAGGATTTGGAGCAGAAATGCGCCCTACAGTGGTAACAAGGTCATCACATTAAAAGGTGTTGTTATCTCGTTGGCAACAAAAACCTAGCACTAGAAGCTGTATGCGGAGTTAATCAATGCTAGGTAGCTAAAGCTATGTACAGGCAATGTATGTGGCTATCCACACTAAACTCGCCCACACCTTACCTAATGAAATTGCAACAACACCACCCATTTGATACTGTGTTGTGTACAAATAATCCAGCATGTCGTTCTCTTCCTCTTCTGATAAATCTTCCTTTGCTCTGAGCAGACAAACGTGTTCCACAATTTTTCTACATGAAATTAAAAAACATTCATCATATTTATGATCACAAGGAAAAGGGGAATTTGAAACTAAAAATGTAATAATAAATAACGAAGACCTTTTCCTCTGGGAACCGAGGTTGGAGCTTCGCTCGTCCATAGCAGAAAGTACCACTTTGTGATTCTCTCGAGCACTCTTGAATCCGTTCCAGTGGTAAGCTGTGAAAGAAATTCGACAAAATAAAGTAACTCGAATTAATGCAGTAAATGGTGATGTTCCGTTATCGAAAGTGGGAGTTGAGAGGAGAGTTGAACAAACGCACCGTGAAAAGATAGAGGGGTTTGGGAGAAGGGGAATCGATGAGGGAAACAAATAGAATAGCCATAATTTGAGCATTGTAATGCAAAACCCATTTTCAGAGCCTTTGAATTTTCCGTTGCTTTTGCTTCCCAGATAAAAGAGAGATATTATTTTAAGGTATATGTTTGTATATCATAAAAACAAAACCCAGGAAAATAATGGGTGGTTCAGGATAAAACAACTCGCCTTTCATTTAAATACCACGCATAATTTGGCGCCTTATATTTTAAGTGAGCCAGGTTTCATGCTGCACACTCGAGTCCTGCTTCTCATCACTCATGTATACTTTTTTTTTAACAAATGATTAAACTTGTAAACAACTTTCAAAATTTACATTTCTTTCTTACTATAATTTTAATATTTTTTTACAGAGAAATGATTAAATATTTGCAATAATTTTATATATTGTAAATCATTTACAAATGAACAGTCATATTTATATAAAACATCCTTTCCTCAAAAAAGTCCCGCTATCACCAATTCACCATCCTTTGATTACATTTTTGTGTGCCACACATGAACCTTCGCCGTCCAATTTTTTCTTTCATTTTTTTTGTCTCTTACCCGCTATATTTCTTTTTTCTTTGAATCAACGGTTAATTTATTTTCGTGTGCCGCACACAGAAAAAGTTGTACGTAATATTTCGGTTTGTAGAATATCTACCAAAGTAAATTTCATAGAAAATGTCTCAACGTTTTCTTTCATTTTTTATTCGATGCAATTAGTTATGCTGAGCAGCATTTTTCGACACACGCAGCCAGCCACACATACGCCAGCAGTTAGTAATAATAATGATTACGATAATAGGTAGAGCAACAGAGCAAGTACAAAGTTAAGATCCCGTTCATGGCTCACATTGAATCTAGGCTATTTTTAACCAAACCTACTCCTGAAACTATGGGTAGGTTAAATTCCAAAGTTGAATAAAGAGCTTGCAGAAAAAATTTAACTTTCAATCTAGTAATAACTTTTGTAAAAAAAAAAAAGGTTATCTAACAAGAACTGGAAATAAAATATCGAACAGGGTTCTAATAATATACATGGACTCACAATTTATTAAGAGAGTTGCTATAGAGCACAACAGTCCATTGGCTTCAGCCATGATGTATAAAAATTGAAAACGAATATCAAGAGTAGGGCAGAGCAATAAGAAACTCCGGAGTATATTTTACTCTGCTGATCTAGTTTAAGCTAACAAATTATCTCTGTCATCAAATCCAACACTTTCTGCGAGTTAATCAGGAATTGATCAAGTTCTGAAAAAGCTCTGGAAGATGGGCATTGGTCAGCTTGGTCCTTTTGCTGATTTCATTCTTCTTCCTCTTAGCCTTGGGCTTAGAAGAGAGGCCTTGAATTTGCGCTGCACTCCTCCTCTTTGCAGTGTTGGTAGCGGGCTTCATTCCATTCTTTTGAAGATCCTTCTCTATATCAATCATATCACGAGGCAATTCAATACTCCGAAAAAGCTGTTTCAGGTCATTATCCACCTTAATGGGCACTTTGGGGTCATTAGGGTAGGCAATGTCTTCCTGTGAATCAAAGTTGGACAGCAGCCAAATCTGCCCTGCAGCTTTCAAAGCCTAGAAAGCAATAGCTTTGTAAGGTTCTATTCCATGAGAAACCAATTATTTACTAGATTTTGACTCTTCACCACTTCAACAAAAACATCACCTATCACCACAGCAAGTCATCTGATTATAGACGTTTTAGATCAACTCCACTAAATAGTTCTATTCTTATTAACATATTTCGATAAACACACAAAATTTCACTCTTCTATCAATAAAAAACAAGCAAAGAGAATGGTCTTTAAAAAGAAATAACAAATGCAAGAAAGTGATGGGAGGGGGAAGAATTTTAATGGCTTTGTTCTACTAGGCAGGATGCCCCTCCAGACTGAACTCCTTCAGTAAGAACATTGCAAAGCCAGATTTTAACACAGCTCCGAATCCAACATACGAGAAAGTAGCAGGAAAGGTTGAACCACATTGAAGCTACCACCTTAAACAGTAAGATTTTGTATTGATTAATAAAAATATGTTTCTATTTCCTTTGTAGTAGCCTTAATGACATAATGGCAAAGGTTAGTAGAAAGTGACAAAATGATTTTATAAAAACCAACTAATGTGCAGCGTTAGTGTATGATAGAACTGGACCAGAAATTAGGAAATAATGGGATTAAAATATGGGAATTTTATCGATGATATCCAAAGATCAAAAGAGAAAGCACGGCCTAAAAAAGGAAACTTCCCCAGGAATTTGATTGAGAGCCTAGTCTCTCCCTCCAAGACAAACTCACCAACCAAGTGCCTTCACTTACATTCTCTCCCTATGTGTATTTCCTACCTTTACTACTGTAATTAGAGGGCTGTCTAACTAACTCTAACAACTTCTCTGCAAATAACAAGGCCTAACTATGAGAGGCTGGCCCACCCATCCTTATTTCTTCTAACATATACTTTCCTAATTGCAGGCCTGTTGCTAACAAGTGTATCACCCATAACATTTGATCTTCTTCCAAAGGTATACTGAGTTTCAATTCATGTTTCTCCCAAAAAACACTATATAGACAGGAATCAATCAGTGAGAAATAAGAATAGACATATATCTATGAAAAAAACTACCAATGTTACTAAAAAATCAATGTCAAGAGATGTTTCATTGAATTAAAAAAATAAAAATCATTTTACCTGCAAGTCTTCCATCACAGTGGGGTAAGCATCCTTTAGGTCAATAACAGCAATGCCCTCAGCAAATTTACGTATCAAATGAAGAAGCTCAGTTTTGTCCTTAAGGCCATACTTTGACTATAGACCAGAAGCAAACAACAAAAGAATTTATTTTCTAAAGGAATATTTGAATAAATGAAGGTTTAGCTATATGCATGAATAAAATTACCTTGTAAGAGAATCGCTGCCCATCATAGTTTACTTTTGGGTTTTTCCTCAAATTGTCAAAAACATCTTTGTTAGCCTTCATGTCAACATAGCATGTTTCATTTATCTGTTCTGGTGTGAAAGCTAGTCGTGTCTGTCAGCAAACACAAGCACCAAATCAATATGATTTCAACTAATCAATTCCTGATATAGGAATTTCATTAGTAGGTCATGTGTAAGTGGCATGGCTCCTTGAGGCTTATGGCATGCCCCGACCACAGAATGGGGCGACCCCCCTCCATCTAAATATGTATATATTGTTTCAACTAAGTGTAGGAGGACCAACATAAGATACTGAAAGAAAAGCAAAATCATACATCATGTAGGTTGGTAAAGAAAATTCTCCTAATCAGTGTTTTAGGGACACAATTTTGAAATTTAGTATTAATAACCAAAAGAATGCAAGTGCTGACTAAAAATCCCTTTTTTATATCATGATTCGCTATCACTTGCACCACCAGTAACTGACAAAAAATCGAACCTAATAAAACAAAGGAACAATATATTTGCATTAAAGGAGGAAAGCACAATGCAAATGGAATGACAATTCGGATAGTTACCTCTAGCAGGAGATCAATAACACGCTTCATCTGAGCACCCACAGGGGCTTTGCGAATACTGTTGATATGCTGAAGCCTCTCTGTGTCGTTTGAGAATTTGACAGCAGGGGCTGGATTTCTTCCATTGGAAGAAGCTGGGGCATGTGCAGCTACTGGAACCATAGGTTTTTGGGTAGCAACCTTGCTAGCTGCAATGCTCGATAGGGTTGACTGGCACTTCTCTTGCTGCTTTTTGAATCTGTCTAGCTTTTCTTGCAACGCCATCTGAGATCCAAACATACACAGAGAGTTTGAAATCACATAAAGAGCTTATAATGATAGTTTTCAAGTTATGCATCCAGAGGAAAAAAAATGCCAAATCAACGATAGAGAGAACAGAAGAGAAATTGGTAAGATTTTATTCCTTGATAGGAATTGGTAAAGGACCCAACCCTATCGACGAGATGGCAATAGCATCCAGTAGGGGAAGTTGTAACCCTAAGATTTAGAGAATAAGTGAAATCTTGAATGTCCTTAATTTCAAATCTTCCAAAGTGAAGGAAAATTAAAAAGGTATAGCAATGATATCCAACACACCATCATCGAACTGAGAGAGAGAAAGAGAGAGAAGCTAATCATGAAAGGAACGAAGGACTTTGCTCTGAACCTCCATTCGTCAATTGGTTCTAGGTTTGCCACAGGTATTATAATCATACATCGGGCTTATTTTGTAGTTTTAAAAAAAAGACATTATACCAGTGTTACCAGAACCGACCCGGTCATTGACCCGCCAAGGTTCTAGGTCACTGGGTTAATGGTTCAACCGGTGAGTCACCGGTTTACCAGGTTAAGTATATGCAAATCTATATTTTATACTTAAAAATCCACAAGCATACTCAAACACATGCCAAAAATGATATCACTTCCAAATATTCTAATATGAAAAACAATAAATCACACATCATTGTCCAACAAGGGGGCAGGGGAACAAACATGAGGCTGATAATATTCTGTTGCTAATCTAATCAAATGTCAATCCTCAAAACTCTATTAACAAACTATATATGGCCGAAAAAATGGTTACTTTTCAAGACGAGCTATGAATATTTATCAGGGTATGATTGTATCAACACACAGAACTCTAAAACAGAAATTAGCACTGGTGTGAAAGTGATATTTGTTATCAAGAATATATTATTTATCATAAATGCAACCTTACTGATTCTTCTTCAGTTGTGTGGAAGAAATTGAGCTAATGGATCCTACTAGATGTTCAAAACATGATTCTCAATTTAAAATACTAAATAATCATCTCGTGACGTAAGAAGTAGGTCTGATGTAGTTCATGCTTTCTACTCTTTACAGTATGGTCTTTGAACTATTAGATTAACCAAATTTCCTGGCCAAAAAATCCCATGTACTGTTTCCCCCAAAAAAATCACGGTTTCTGTAATTCGAAGAGAGGTGTGAAACATGCTAACAAAAAAAAAAATATGAGCAAATTAATATCAATGAATTATATTATCGGTTCACATTAAACATGTTAGGTATCGACATACAGAGCAATAAGCCAAAAAAAAACCTCACAAGCAACACTAACCGAAACAGAGATCGAGTAGATCCAAAATTAATAACTCTGTTTACGAATGATGGTCACTGGCGGTCCTTTGGTTCTGGGATTCGCGCCTCTCCGGAGTCCACGATTTCACGCCGGAGCTCACCTGGAACGCTCTCGTACCTTCCGATAGGGTTGAACTTGAACGTTGCCTCCAAACCCTCTACGCGAGCCACGTCAAGGGGTTGATGGAAGGCAAGGAGGTGAAGCGTTGGGTAGCAGAAGGAGAGAGATTAACGAAAGAAATTGCGCAAAACCCTTGTCAAGGTTTGTTGATGAGAACAAACTGATTGAGAGAAGAATAAAACTGCACAACGACGTAGTTTTCTTGATAAAAAGAAAACTGTATCAAAACCGGTAAACCGGTGGTATAGATGATTCGAGTCAAATAATGGACCGATCATATATCAGATCCAACGAAAACTGATTCGAGTCCTCCACTACTTTTTATCAAAATCTGTGAGCCGGTTCACAACGAAAAAATATCCTCCTTAGGAAAATCTATTAGCAACAAATTAATATTTTTATAGGATACCAAAAAAAAATTAATTTTTTTATAAGGAAATTGTTTCTTCATATATTAGATACACATGCGAATATCTATTAATTTAATATTCATTCTGGTCTTAATTCAAATAAAATTTAAATCTAATTACTGCTTGAGCTAATTTTTTATTATTATTCCAAATAAGTTTGATAATTATTTTCATTTCCTTTACCAAGTATTATTGATAAAAAAAAAATGGGACTTGACTGATCTGTTTGATTAAAAAATTAGTAAATTAGTTAAATAGGTCGTATATTCAATCTACAAAATTAAACATTGTTCAATAGTGAAGATTTTGGACATATTAATTAAAATGATGCAAGAAAAAATATATTTGTTAAATAAATTGAAAATAAATCATCTCATGTATTATTTAACGTGATCATATCACGTGTGAGAATTCTAACTATGCAAAAGTAAATCAATGGTGATAATTTTACAACCACTTATTCCAATATTTTCTCTTTCTTTTCCATTCGTTCTAGTATGAATGTTATTATCTCACATGATATAATTATGTTAAATAACACAAAAAAAATTATATAACTTGTCAAGAAGAAAAATTGACATATAAGTGCATAACAAATATAATATGAGAGGAGTCATGCGTTGAGATATTTTCGATCTATATTAATAATTTTATATTAAATTTATTTAATAAAATATTGTCGTGATTTAAAAAATCTTTTTTTTCTTACTCGTCATTTCTGTAAAAAATTATCACATGTAATCTTGGATTCTGCTCAAACAAGATAAATCTATTATTTTTAATTTTGAAGTAAATATATACATATATTTTTTTGTCACTGATAATTCGGCTTGAAGATTTTGTCGGAATATCTGTCGCTTGGTATGGTCTTTAGAGATATTATTATGAAAGTATATTTAGCTCGCCAATCAATTCTCATGTAATAAAATATAATTTTACCCTTGAGTCCAATGATTTTTTATTGCTATTTTTCCTTAACAAATATTATTTTATTACTATCTAGAATTTTGTTTATATTTTTTAAAAATTATGAAACTTATTTTTTTTTTACATTAAAGTCTATTTTTACTTCAAGCTTCAGTTATCTTAAAATAATTGGTTATATTTTGTATTTGTATATTAAAATTTGTTTTTTTATCTCAAATGTCAAATTTTATATTTATTTAAATTATTTATATCTCGTTTGTAAGCTTAAATATCCTTTATGTAAAATAGTATTTTGTTTGTCTATAAAAAAATAGTATTTTATTAAACAAAATAATTTACGGAAATATACTTCTTTTGTCGGTGCCAAATTAAATTCTGCAACAACACATAAAATTATGTGTCTGTTGCACCAAAAAAAATCTGCAGCTGCTGCAAAAGAAATATCCAATAATTGAAGGGCAACACATATATATATTATTCTGCATACATATCAAAAAATATACCGTGTGCTTTTTTATTTTATGTTAAATGGAGGGTCCTCAATATTTTTGTGTATTATAGGAGAAATCATATTGCCATAATTTAATACGAAAATAAATAAATCATATTTTATATAATTTAATTTTGATTCATGCTTTACTCACAATTAAAAAAATTAATTGATGTGAGGATTAAAATAAAAAACGATAATGATAATTTATATCAATATAAGAATATATTATTTAAATTAAATTTAATACAAGTTTGGGGTGTAAATGGGGAAAATTTTCAACTGTCTCGATGTATAAATCAATCAGTGGACCGAGCCAATAAAAATAGGACAACGGCTGGGAGTAGTGTACAGAGAAAAGAGAAAAATAAAATAAAATTTAAAAGTGTCAGGGGTGCTAAACAAATCAGGGGTCTTTGGCTCTGCTCGTGAAGGCCTAAGCTTACATGTCTAAAATTGGTTGTTGGCACCAGACTGAAACTTGTATAAAAACTCGTTTAATAAAAAGGCTTCAGCTTCAATTCAAAAGCTCGGTCTTAGAACCTCTCAGGCCGACCTAGTATATTATTTTTATTTTTATTTTTTTTATACTACTTGTAATAGCCTTCTCTTTCTCCTAAATCTATTTCATCCCATTTTATTGGTTAAATAGAGTTTTTGAATTATTTTGTTCTATATTATGCTGTTTGGATATACCTTGAATTTATGAATATTTATAGAATTAGTAGTGTTATTGATTGTATATTCTGTTTGGATAAATTTTTATTATCTTATTTTTTTAAAAACAGGCTAACAGACTAAATCAGGATTTTTTTGTAAATAAGACAGGCCACAGGCCAATAATTATATTTATAATAGGTAACAGGCTTGGTCAGGTTGACCCATTTAAATATAAACTTAGTATTTTAAGAGCAAAACCCAGCTCGACTCGTTAACACCCCTAAGCATGTGGATCGGGAGCTCTGAATTTTTTCTTGTGTACATGATTCAGATGAATGATCAAACTCCTACAACCTAGGCTGCTTTTAGGCTGACCTCTTTTAAAAGTAATAAAGGCTTGGCATCGTTCAAATGTCTCTTTAGAAATTAGACCAAAGACTTATTTTAAAATGTTTGACATCTAAGCCTTTGTTTTTTTCAATAAAATAATATGGCTGATTGACCCTTTGCCTTTTTAAAAAAAATATATAACTTTGTCTCTCTTTTCAAACTATAGATCAACATGTCTCTATTTAACTACGTTGATAGTTAGTTATTCGAGTAAATGACTTATTCTAGTAGTAATCGACCCAGTTACTCGAGTAATTCAGGCAAGTGGACAACTCAAATTTGGATCCACAATTTTTTTTAATTTAGGTAAAGTTCTAATGTCTTGTACATGTATAAATTGACTCGAGATGAGTATTTACAGGTCCAGAACAATTGAGAACAGTTTCCATCCAAGTTTTTGATCCCTTAAAATTGTGTAAACTTTGAAATGCCTAACTTTTGGCTTGATTCTCCAAATTGTTTTTTTTTTATTTTTATTTTGCGTAACTTTTCAAAATGTAGGTGATGAAAAATTTCCTGAAGGGGATTTGGTCAAATAATTTTCCAATAAATACTTCCTTCATGGGTTTTGAGAATGACAAAGTAAATGAGCATAAATCTTTAAAAGCAATGCCACTTGGATATAAGTATGTATATAAGACTTAGTTTAGGGTAAATAGCTTGGATGAAGATTGTTTTCAATTGTTTTGAACCCTCTAATCCATATATGAAGTCCAAACATGTGTATGCATAATATAACAATAAGCATGGATTAATAAAAAAACCCAATTTTGTTATCAAAAAAAAAAAAAAAACCCAATTTAACAAGTTATATTGAAAATCAATAGAAAATTATGTTTTGACACCATGAATTGAATGAGGACTCCCCTCAATTGTAAAGGACCCACAAACACCAATCACAAGTCCATTTACATATGTATAAGACATTAGAATTTAGTTTGAATATAAAATATTCGTGGATCAAGAGTTGAGTTACCGACTTGTCTGAGTTACTCGAGTAGATTGATATATAGTTTTAGGAAAATATTTTTCTTATGTTGTAAAAAAAAACTATCTCATGTTGTAAAAATAAAATTATAAGTGGGACCCACAGGTAAGAGGAGAGATAAAAAAGAGTGGTTAGACTCAATACCTTTTTGTGTATGTAAGAAATTTGTTTATCTCATGTAAAATGAGATAAACATAACCCATAGTTTTAATATAGGACTTTATTAGTCTCCTTTCACATTAGATAATTATATTATGTTGTAAAGAGAAAATAAGTGGGTCCCACCATTACAAGAAAAAAGAAAAAATAATTGAAGTGAGAGAACACGAGATAAGTTATCTTATGTGAAAAAAAAGTAATATTTTCCTTTAATATAAGGTTAAAATTAATATATAGTTTAAAAGGGGCTAAGTGGTAAAAAAAATTAAATACAGGGACACAATGGTTAATCACTCAAATAGTATAAATACAAGTGAAAATAATACAATACAAATAAATATTTTTTTACTATATAAATATAATTTTCTTAAAATATATTAAATATAAGTTAAAATTAATTCTTTAAAATATAATAAATGTGAACCGAAATAATTTTATGAATCACACTTAAATATAATTTTGATATTTAATATCAATATAAATTAAACGTTAATTATATAATATATATTTAATGTAACAGTAAAAATAAAGTTTGATTTATTTTTTTTTATTTTTTAAGTATAATTAAAAATTCCAAAAAATATAGATATTAAGAAATTTTCTTTGTTAAATTATTATTATTATTTTTATTACTACATGTGAATATGTGTGTTTAAATATTTAAATTTCGTTAAATTAAATAAAAGTTTAGTTTTATAATTAAAAATCAATACTTTTTGATTCAATTTATTATTATTTTATTTATAGCAACATAATTAAATTATTAATATTTTAGGATGTAGTTTTCATAACTTATAATTCTCAAAGTGCAATATGCTATTTTTGAAGGCTTGGTTAGCTTGATAAGCGAAGGCAAACTTTATATTTTTTAAAAACAAGTCGGGACATACTTATAATTTAATTTCTATCAAATTAATAAGCGAATTTATGCTTTGAATATTAGATGTAATTTATTTACGCTAAAGTCTGACTTTCCCTAACTAATTTCTATGATGCACGGACACCACTGACACAGAACATGACACGACATGACACACCGACACATTAATTCTAAAAAATGGCATATTTCGACACGCTGGGACACGTTTTGATATTAAATAATATTTTTAATATATATAATAAAATTTATATTTAATACATATAATAGTTCATAATAAGTCATATAACCAATCAAATATTTAAATTTCATAAAATAAATATAAAAAAGATAATTTTTCGTATTAAGTTAATTTTTCATGTCAAATTTCATAACAGAAAAACATTGATTTATAAATATTTTTTTATTTTATTTTTAGTTAATAAAATAAAATTAAGACAAAAAAAAAACCGTGTCCGAACGTTGACCACGTGTCCGAAAAAGTGGACTGCGTGTCGAAAAAATGTGTCGGAATGTGTCGAAGAGTAGATCACGTGTCCCAAAATATTAACCGCGTATCGAACACGTGTTCGAACATGTCGGACACGTGTCCGACACGCCATTTAAAAAAAAAAATCCCTGTCCGGGTATTATAGACTAATTTACATGGATAATTACAAGTCAGGCTTTTGGTTTTGTTTTTCTCGAGTTATGTTTAAGAAAATAATTTCAGAATATAATATTATCATATCTAATATTAGTTCAAAAAATTAGATATTTACAATTATCATATTTTATTTGATTTTTTTTATTAAACATAAACAGATTTATAACTTTTTTTTTATTTGTATCATATTTTTTTATTTTATTTAAATTTAATAATACTAAATATATATTTTAATTTTTTAATAAATAATATTTCCAATCGTAATAATTTTTTTAAAACATCATTCCTAATCATGCGTCATTAAGAAATTTATTACTTGAAAAAAAACTTTCACAATCCCAATACGTGCTCGTCCCATTAACATTAAAAAGTATATAAATTTACGTGACATTAGAAATGAAAAAAAATAAGCAGAATAAATACAAATAACTGAGCCATTAATTTCCGTGAAGAAAAATAAAGAAATTACTGAGAACTTATCCTATAAGTACGAGAAATCAGCTGGTAGCTGACCTAACGCACCGTGGTCTGAATTTAATTTTTATGAAATTAATTTTCGGGCAAAAGAAAAAGCTTGTTACGTGTGGCATTGCAAACTTTAATTGAATAGAACACGTGGGTTTGGGATGGTGATTCGTGGACTAAGATCAAATATTCGCATAGCAATAGTTCCCATCAAAGCCAATCCTCCAAACTCTTAAAAAGACACAACACAAGAAGCTCAAACCCTCGCCTCACAAACCAACAACAATTTTTCAGTTCCGTTTGTCGGAGAAGCCTTGGATCCTGCAATCTCTTCTCCGCACTTCCCATTTCTGATGAGAATACTGCTTCCCTCGCTGAAATACGGTAACTACTAACTAACCTATGACCTAATTTTGGGATTAGCTTAGCTTTGAGTTTTTTTAACACTTAGTTTGATGTTTTTTCATTAACATGTGTTTATTTAATTGTTTATTATTTTTTAACACTTATATGTATGTTAATGATTTGTTTGTGAAACGGGATGTGGAGGTAAAGAGCTGGAGATGAATGAGATTTTAGTTGTAGTCAATGCATTTGTTCTGTCTAAATTCATTTCTATTATTTTTCCTTTCATTCATGGCTTGTAGAAAGAAAAAAAAAAATCATTTTCTTTTTTTTTTTGTATAAAAGAAAATTAATTTTCGATTTGGTGCGGGAAATCTATTTCACAAACTGTGGAACTACTTTCTCACCATATGACCCTAATTGTTTAGGGCAGTGACAAGGTTGTTGTTTGTTTGTCTGGTAGTTCCACGGGTAGTTGAATATCTTTAATGTTCAGATGTCTCTCTTGATTGTATCATATCCAATCTTCATTTCCTATTTGTTTTTAATGACCTGTGAGAGTTTTTCGTATTTCAGGTGGTACAACTTAGTCCATATTGGAGGGCATGTCATAGTTCCTAAGATCTGTGTTGCTTGTCATGTCTCCTTGTTGGTATAATGAAACAAGTCAGAATGCGTGCTTTGTGGCTGAGGGAATAAATTACCGGAATAAGGGAGATGTTTTGAGCTTTGACTGCTTTAACGAATTTGTTTTATCTTTGAGGACATAACCTGCCTTCTGAAAATGGGAAAAGCTGAAGTTGAAAAGGCTGAAGAAACCAATGGACAGATTGACAGTAACACAAAATGCAATTCTAATAAACAAGTGAGTATAAATTTTGAAGAGTTTTTTTTCTTGGGATATTGTCTTCCACTACGTAGCTAAGACTTTATCACTTGTTGTATCTTGGTTGATATGTGATAATTTCAGATTGTAGAGAAAGCTAATGAACGTCCTGAATGGTTACCTGATGGATGGAATGTGGATATCAAAACTCGAAAAAGTGGTACACATATGGGATCTGGATATAAGGTGATAGATAGATTCTCTTAATTAGTTGTTATTGTTTTAGACCATTAGCAACTTTAGTTAGATCATCTTCTTTCTCTTTGTTTCTGTTTTTCGTGTAGTAAGTTCTTATTATTCCTTAAACACTGGCTTGCTGTTAGTCAGGAAGTAACCATTGCCACTACTATTGTATGGCGTACATTATAAGTCTATAACTTGCACAGTTCTCAATTTTCTGGCCTTGAAACATGAATAAATTTTAGGTAGAATTGTCTGTAGCCGGAATTTTTACTTTGGGAATCTAAAATCTGATTCTTAAAAACATTCTTGACCTCAACATCTGGTACATACAATCGTAAATTTGATCTCCCCTCGTGTCTGGCCTGTGAACAGTTGTCCTAAATTTGTGCGCTGGATTTTGGGACATATCTTTTGAGACCATATTCAAATTATTTGTAATAGTTATATTCAGGGGTAAAGTCTTTAATTGACGTGAACATGTGACTCTGTCCTCCTTCTTGGTGGTGTTTTATTTTCTTGCCTTGTTGTTGGACTATTACTTTTCAGGCATATTAATTACACAATACAGTGTTTCCCTTTCTTTTTAATTACTGTTTAAATGGGGTTTTGTTGTGTATTTATCAGCGTTCATGGTGAAACTTATCACTCACAATGAAACTGTTTTCTTGTTGCAGTGTTACATTGATCCAGTGAATGGACTCAAATTCTACTCCAAGCCAGAGGTATTACGGTATCTGGAAACTATAAAGGACAACAACAGCACTTCCAAGAAAGAGAAGAAATGCACTAACATGCATTCTCCAAGCAACGTTTGTATCTCTATATCTCTTGTGCTCTAATTTTCTTTTCTTTTGTGTTTGTTATTAATGAAATTTATCATCAAATTGACATATTCTTTCTTATCATCATCCATTACACAGTCCTGCATCACGAATGATTGATGATTTTCATAACTAGAACTGTTTGTGACATATGAAGCCAAAATCACACTAGACACTATAAGGAGTTTTGTTCACTTTATTTGTTGTGTAGAAATGACCATGACATGAAAATTAATCCTAAAATACAATGATAAGAACCTTCAGCACAAAAACAGACCCAATAGCAGAGAACCAAGGACTTTGGCCTGAATAATCAGATTTTATATATTCTTCAAGAGACAATTACAATCTAGTGACAGTGAAACAGAGACAATTACAGAAAAGGGAAAATTACAATGAACTTGGAAATGAAATAACAATGCAAGAAGATAAAGGATAGTGTGAGACAATCGGAGAGGCCTCACTCTCTCCCAAGGTTTCCACTTCAATATTCTAGATGGTTCCCTCAAGCGTCCATCTCCCCCTCTTAACCAATTTCCCCGTAACTAATTTGCTCTCTCCCACTTGCGTTCTATTAGAGGGCACTTTGGTCATCACTTGGGCCAGTGGCATCTCCACTTGGACCTCCACTTTCAGCAACCTCTCTGCCTGTACTTGAGCCCACTTCTGCGTTTTGAGCCCGAATCCTTCTACGGTATACTTGCCATGGTGGGTTCGTATCATACAACCATAATGAAGAAAAAGTTATAGATTAACCTTGAAAGAATGTGCCACCACATAACAGAAGAGCTGTTCGGAAAATGAAAATGGCTGCATCAACTTAAGGCCTCATATGTTTTGTTTTCTCTGTACATCTCTTTTACCAATTTGGCTAATTTTTCTTTTGCTGGACACTATGAATTGTACGAACTTTTAAGTCCTAGTTTGTCTTTGTTACTCAGGTTGTGTTAATTTTTTTTATTTTTTTGTTTTGACTTTTGTCTACTTGGGTTGTGTGCTCTTGCTGCCATTTAATGCATGTATACCTTTACAAAGAAAAGGAGCAGAAAGTTAGCCAAAAAAATGCGTTAGGTTTCATGATATTGATTATTGGATGAGCCTCTATTTAATTTTCATGGTTTTGCTGTGTTCCAGGCTGTGGTTGAGAAGTCCACTGAGGAGGATTTACCACCTGGATGGATAAAAGAAGTAAAGATTAGGAAGAACAGAAATGGCATTAGGAAAGATCCGGTATGAAATTTTAATTCATGTTTGGTAGAGGTTTATGCTTTGCTGTCCCTCTGCCCAATAGGAGCTCTTTTTTAAGTATTATAAAAAAAGATGGATATTTATTTAATATCACATTCTCTTTTTTTTTGGCTTCAAATCAAATGCTGTTTTTTTTTATTATTTGTCTTTTCTCATTTGGAAATGTCGGTTACAAATAATCTCCAATGTGGTTTATTGTGTAATATGCTGCATTTACAGCTTTCCAAAAAATAAGTGCTTGAATAAATTATGATTGGGTTATACTTCCCAACAGTTGTTTAAAGATCCAGTGAATGGATTTGTATTCCGTTCCAAGAAGGATGTATTGCGTTATCTTGAATCTGGAGATGTAGGCAAATGTGTGTTTAAACCACGCAGAGGACAAATCCAAGATGAAGAAAAGTTAACTGTAAGAACCTTTTGCATGAGTACTATCTTACTGTTGTCGCTTTTATTGAGTATTCTCTTTTCCTATTGGTTCTAACTCCAAGCTGTTAAAAGATTAAAAGAATCTAGGGATTCTTCAATCAATAATTTTTTTATGTTTTCATGTGAGAATTCAAGTTGAGAATAATTTCATAATTCTTGTTCTGCTTTTGTTTAATGTAGCCATTACCTGCTGCCAAGAGACAGAAACTAAAGAAGTCTGCATCCAAACAACAGTTTTTTGCAGGTAAGAAACCATAAATGTATATATTTATATTTTAGGATTGGTTGATCAATTGTTCTACATGATCATCTATGGCATTTACCCCAAAAACCCATTCATATTTATTTCAAACTTTTTACTGCAGCCGACGAAATATTTCATAAAGGCACCTTAGAGTTGTCAGATGCTAACAGCTCAAGAAAAGGGCAAGATGTGAAGGTGCCATCTGAAATGATGGCTGCTCCTGTTCCCACAGGTGAATCCATTGTAAAAATGCATTCGTTAGAGGTTGGAGCTGCAAACCCTCCTGAAATAAAGAAAACATCTGACCCAGGTAGCTCAGCACTTTTAAAATATGAATCCTTGAAAGAATCAGAAAAAGGGCTTTCTGCAGATGACGGGCAAGTGAAGGAGCATGCTGTGAATATGATGGAGAATGCTAATGAAAAGAATCACCATAACCATAGCATATCAAAAAACAAGGAATTCAATGTGCGTCACCGGTTTTCACCTAGACTTGCTGGGATTGAACCTGTCCAGTTGGCCAACAATGTGATCAATGAACAGACTCTTCAAGTTCCAAAAAGAAACTTGAGGAAAAGTAGGGCCACTCTTGATGCTGATATGGAAAATAAATCTTCTCAGCCTTTCAATGGCGTCCAAGAAATTGAGCAGGTGCATAAAATGGAACAAGAGGTAATGAACACAAGCAATAATCTTTCGGAAGGCCAAACAGTTTTCAAAGAGCAACCACATCTGCAAGAAACAGATAAAATAGAGGACAAAAAGCCAGGAATTCGTACTAACTCAAGCAAAACCCGTAATAAGAAAGCGCACAACATTCCTCATCGGTCTTCAAAACGACTTGCTGGATTTGAACATGAGCTGAACTACATATCCTGTGAAAATGCTCCTAAATATAAAAGCGAAAAGTCTGAAGATAAGGTCAATGCAGAATTGCTCCAAAGTGGGGGTAAGCCTGTTACAGAGATTGCAGATCTTGCACCAATAAATGGAGAGTCAGCAAATAAAAGAAGAAAATCTCCTAAAATTCCACCTTTTACAGACAGTCAACTGGAGAAACTCGAAGATGAAGAAGTGGTTGATGAGAAATCAGAATCTCAGTTGTCCTTGGCATTCCACTACTCTTGGTCTGACCCATGCTTGGAATTTGCAATCAATACCCTCACGGGGGTGTTACCACCAGTTGAAGATTCAGTTGATAATGGACCCACTACAGTCCCTGAAACTTCAATTCAAAAAAATTTGTTTGACAATGTTACAGGAATAAGCAGGGACAGTCAAAACAATTTGTTCGACAATGTTTCAAGAAGAAGCAGAGACAGAAACCCCCAGGTACATTCAAATAAATCCAAGAGGAAGAAAGAGCTCAAAGTGCCTATGCGGTTGTCTAAGCGACTTGCTGGCCTTGAACCTGAGGTACTACCTTCTGAAAGAGCTCTTGAATATTCCTCCAGAAAATGCAAGGAAGAACCTATTCCAATTGCAACTGCATCTGACCATCTTGCTACTGTGGAAAAAACCAAGCTTAATCTTCATGCATCTGACAGTTTGAAAACAGAATTACTAGAAGAATCATCAAACATGACTGAGAAGTCATATGATGCCCAAACTGTTCCCAAGGAACAATTGCAGAATGTTGAAGCTGAAAATATTGGTCAGGAGAGATCCGAGCCACAGCTCCCCTTACCATTTGGGGACTCTTGGTCAGATCCATGCTTTGAATTTGCAATCAAAACTCTCACTGGTGCTTTGCCCGTTGAGGCTGCTGTGGAAATTTTGCCTGTTATGACTCCTGATGCTGACATGTCAAATAAGGATTTGCATGGGAGTGTGGTGACGAGCATCAATGCAGAAGGTCATGATAAATCAAACCAATCCCAGAACAAAAAAGAGCTTAATATGGGTACCCAGCCTTCAGAACTACTCATGGGGCAACCTATGTTGAGGACCAGCTCCACGTCCTGTGAAAATGCTCCTAAATTTACAACTGGCGAGTCTTGTAGCCATGAAGGCAGCATAATAAGGAATTTGGTTGGAGAAACTGTACATATCGATGCTGGAAACGTAACAAAACTTGTGCATCCTTCTACAAATATAAACACACTGATGCATGAAAAGCCATTAAAGGGAAATGGACAGGTTGTGGAGAGTGAATTTGTTACGATTGAACAACCACCACTGGAAACTGAAACCATAGACCATTATAACTCTGAATTTCCGTTTTGTCCTTCGTTTATGAATTCTTGGTCAGACCCATGCCTAGAATTTGCATTTAAGACTCTTACAGGTGACATACCGCTGGAGGAAAATTTTGCAATTCAAGGATCTCTCCAGGAATCTGCTAATTGTCATGAACGAAGGGATGTTGGCTCAACATTGACAGATGTTGGATCTTCCAGCTTTTCTCAAAGTGATGTGTCATTTTACTATGATATAGGGTTAAATTCAATGCCAGGGCAGCAGTCATCAATGAGCACTCCAATCCTACCCTTAGAAAAAGCGAGCCTGCAAGGTTGCCCTGGAGTTGATCCTCAAAAACACTATTCTCAGTTCAACAAGGATTTTCGAAGGAGGTAAACTCATAAAAACATTCGTTGCTAGCCCCAGGATAACTGCTATTAATCTCTTATTGTACTCTTGTAGACTAAAAAATCGTTGTCATTAAGCATCCTTTGTTTACCTTGTGACATTAGTGAATGCATTCTGAACATAAGGTCTGGCTTGGTGTTTTTCATTTTCTGTTTAGAAGATCTAGGCAAGTAAAGCAGGGAGGTACAGGAGCCCAATAGCTGTTGTGACAAAGCTATCCTTTACAACGCCATCTAAATACTGTAATTTGTAGCCGTTGTTATTATTTGTATCAAGTAGTATTTTATTTTTCCACCCTATGAAAATTCTAGAAAACGCATAAGCTTACGATATAAGTGCTCTCGTAAAATGATTGTCCAGCTTATTTCAATATTTTATTCAGAATTAGGACTACTATTTGCATGTTTATATAATGAGATTATTGTTTCTCGTGTTATAGAAGATAATTTTATCTCCACTACACACATAAAAATGTGTGGAGTCCATAATATTGTTGGCCGTGTAACATGGCGTTTCTTACACTAATGTTTTTGGGACGATACTTTTTAACATTTTTTATTTTGTATATAATGTGGCACTGATGTTCAAATCTATGATTTTATGCAAAACTATTCAAATTCCTTACCATTAGATAAATTCTAATGGTTTGATATTTTTAACATCATGTGTTATTGGTATTCTACAAAATTATTTGTAGAGTTGAATTCATTAATATTATTTAGAATTAATGAGTGGTTTAGATTATAAGTTTAAGTTTTACTCTCACTATTGTATAAAGAAAATGATAATTGGAGTCCGCAATTTTGAAGTTCATTTCTTCTATCTTTTTCTTTTTAAGTCGAAAGAAATTGCAGTGCCAGACATTTAACTCTTTCAATAGGTCAATGTTTTACACCAGTGAACAAGAGAGGCAATTGCTGCAACTTTGCCAAGCCAAGGAAGCTGTTTAGCTAAACCACCGCCTTTTCCAGCCCTAGGATTTTATCCCCGAGCCATGGGATTTTATAGTTACAATAATCGTTCTAGTTATTACCATTCTTCTCTCTCTCAATGTTCTGATAATGATTGGCAGTTTCAATATGGTTCTATAGGGAATCCAACCATTTCGATTCATTATGGACAAGAAATCCTTCCCTACAGCCCTCCAATTCGCAATATCAGGTTGCTAATTTAAGATTTTGGTAATGCAAATGCAATTCTTGGCATGTTCTCGTATGGAATAAAAGCAAATTCAAGTTTTGTGTCAAAATTATAACTACACTTTTGACATATTGAGATCCTTTCGCAAGGCATCACATCAAGCAACCAAGCCAAGCAAAGCATAGTCTATGATTAACACTATTTTTTATCGTGAAGAGTGAACAAATCAGATCTAATGGAGATGCTTCCCATCAAACTGGGTGTAGCAATTTTGGGACGAAATTTTTCTCAAAGCTAATGATGTTAATATAGAGCTTGTATGTTTGGAGCTTTTAATGAATCAATCACAGTATTTTTTTTTTAGTTTTGCCTGAAGTTTCATTTTTATTGTTCATCTTTATATTCTGTCTACAATATTTAGTTTCTGTTTACCTGAGATTTATTTAGCGTTTGTAGTATTATTTTAATCAACTAAAAATAAAGCAATTGAAAAGTGAAGATCCATATATGACCAATTAATACCAAGATCCTCATACAATAATAGTACTCAGAAACAGAAATGCTATTAATTAAGATATTCAGTCTCAGTAACCAGACTCCTTCCATCCACCAAAACTTTCCTCTGACCGTTCTCTGCGATCCTGCAATAAGAAACGGAAAGACGCAGCAGCATCAGATTATAGTCTGAAAGGAAAGTGGTGGAATTGTTCATATTGAAATGCAGTCAATCGATTGGGATATATTACTCTTCACATATATGTATAGTTTTCATTTATAAATCTTCCATTAATTTCTAATTAAACTTTTTTAGCTTTTGGCAATTGCCGTAATTTGTCTAATTATCTATATATCAATGGTGATGAAAATAAAAGATAAGGAAAACAAGATACCTCGTGTGTGAAAGTAAGGCCAACTCTAATCTCTCCACAGTAGTGGCCATCCTTGACAACATTGTATGCCACGGGTGGGATGCTTCCTTCAGTAAACAACGCATCCAATGGAATCCTGTCAAACATAACCAAAATTAGAAACCAAATTTATTTACGTCTTTTTCGTACAATGAATTACTCAAAAAAAATTGGCATGGGGTAATGTTAATCAAATCTAATAGCGATTTCAAAATTTGAATTCTGATATTACGTTTATAACTTTTAGCTTCACGTTTACACAATATTTTACTATAAAAAAAAAAAATCGAGGGTGTTACGGTCAAAGTCAATTTACATGTTAAGTGACTTTACAATTTCATATCTTATTAACCTTTTTTTATTTTGAGAAAACCACACTTAATTCCACTTTGGCACTTTGCTTTTGTTTATGAACAATTCAATACCCAAAATGATGAGGAAAAAAGTGTTTATCATTTTAAATGATACAACTTATATCTTTTCACTCTCACAAAGAGGTGAGATCCATATCTTTGTTTTTTTTTGTCAACCATCTCTCCTCCTTTATCTATTTCTTTCTCTATTTTAAAATAAGACAACTTTCTCAATGACTAAAGGCAAAATCATTTCTAGGGAAATTTTTTTTGCACGAACCAATTACAACTTCGTAAATGTTGTTGTAAAGGAAAATTTTTTACAACAACCAATTACAATTACAGTAACACGTAGTTGTTATTTTGAAAGTTTTTTTTTTTCTTTCTTGATAAGGCTGTCGACTGAGAAAATAATTTATTGGGTGCTATTGCTGTACCAAGTATGGTAGATCATTTACTCAGATTGGAACATCTGTTGTATCAAAGATTCATTCGCCGACTAAGTGATGAAAAAAAAAAACTTTAATATTACAACTATGTCTTACCGGTAAGATATAATTATAATTACTGATATAAGAGAAAAAATTTGCAGCAACACATAAGTTGAGGACCCATGAATAATAGCCAAACATAATTTAGTTAGAAAATTCAATTTTTTAGGTGAGTTTATTATAATTTTTATTGTTATTATTAAAAAAAAAAAAAGAAGCACTTTTGAATCAGATTTGCATCGTTTTCTATTTCTTCATATATTTGGAATTAATACAAGGTAAGTTGCTAGCCTAGGAGCTTTATAAAAGCTATGATAAAGGAAAAAGAAGACGATGGAAATGGAGAATGAGAGACTCACGTAGCTTCTCCTACGAAATCATGTGCCGTTCCGGTATCACTGTCCATGATCTTCAATCTGAGTTCGTTAACACCTTCAGACACATTGAATACAAAATTCTCATTCCACTCCGGTTCACTTCCATGACCTGCATTCATATTAATGTAATTCACAAAATACGCACCAACTTTTAATGTTTCGTTGTGCACATTCAAAATATATAAATGAACAGAAACGTTAACGCTTTAATTTCTGGAAATGAATATACAACGCCTTCAGTTCAGAATCTTAGGCCAATAATTAATTTGAATTATGTATATGATCATGATCTGATTCAAATAGAGAAGAGATGTTTGTATGTACCTGATGCAACACTGCTTTGTTGCTCCTGAGTGCGGCATATAAGGATCACATAGGGATCCATGTTAACTGCTCCATCAGATCAGATCAAGTATTTATATATGTGTGCGTATATATACAAACCAAATAATAGAACTAAGATTTCAGATAAATGAATGTCCGAAATGGATTATATCATATCATATATATAACAACTTACGTATAAAATCGGTATTCTCAAGGCCCTTGGCACTGACAAGAACAACTTCAAGGCTTCCCTGAGGCATTTTGAATGGAAGAGGGGGAAGGGGAGGGGTTGATACGGCGCTAGGGAAGAGTCTTTGAGAGAATGAAATATGAAACAGAATTTGTATTTATTGTGTGTTGGAACTTGAAAGGGCCCAATAAGACAATCTCAGGTTTCAAGTCCAACGATTAGGTCCTTTATTTTCTTTTCCAAATTTGCTTTTTCTAATGGAATTATAAGTTTATTATTAGGGATTTGTGTTTTTCTTCTTATAAAAGATAATTTTATCTCCTACATATGAAAATAGATAGGGATGAAAGTGGGTTAGGTTAGCCTATAAGGGCCTACAGCCTAACCTATATCAGGCCAGACTCGACCAACTATAAATAAGCATATAGAGCAGGCATGTGCTTTTAAGAAAATCTATTTAGAAAGCAGGTTATAAGCTTTTTTTTTTAACATGTCAGACCTATAAACTTACAGGCATCCTATATCATATTATTTATTTAAATAAAATAATATTATTTATAGTAGTACCAAATGGTGATAGTCATGTGAGCTAAGTAGGTGGTGGAAGGACCGATCCCCACCAATACCACCTTTAGGAGAGAAATAAGATCTGTATCAATCTCTACAGTAGCATCAGAATCAACATTTAGTGCTGGAGGAAGAGTTATTGATGCTTATCGTTCTAGCTTAGCTGAAGATACCATCCAAACTTTAATATATAATGGAGATTGGCTACGTAAACAAAACGTATACAAAAGTTTTTTGTTTCTTAATCTTATTTTCTTTCTATTCTTTAATCATGTTTTTTGTTTTCTACATTGAAAAATTATTTGCCAGCTTATGTCACCTTGGAGTTGTATTTTCAGGAGAGAAAAGATGATGAGAAGTTTTTGTCTACTACCAGCATCATGATGTGTTTGTAGGATTCATAAGGTTATTTTAAGTTACATAGTATGGATTGGTTTGCTGGATCTGATGAAATATATGTTATTTAGTTTGTGCATTTTGTTTTCGAAAGTGACTTAAATATCGACTATGATAAGAAGTTATTGTGATTCATGATTCTGTTGGGACATTGAAATTGTGATTTTTGTTATAACAACAGAATCTGAGTATTCTGTGAAGTTGATTCATGGTTCTACTTAGAAGTTAAAATTAACAGGCTAACGGGTTAGGCCAGACCATTTGTTTTTTATAAATGAGCCAGGTTACTCTGTCCGATTTTCGTCTTCGTCAAATAAGAGTTAAACTAGGAGAAGTATGCAATGTGATATATCATGTGAAAAAGGATTAAAGAAAAATAAAAAGTTAGCTCGTATTTTCGTAAGTTAAGTCTTCCACTATTTCTGTTTAGTATCATATGTATGTTAATTGAACCGGCTCGAGACGTGGATGTTACACTGGTTCACACCCACTAAGCCTAAGTATGTTAATTGTCACTGCATATGTTTTATTTATCACAAGTGTATCTGTTTTACAAACACGCGTCACACAAGCAATCAAACAAAATATCAAAAACCTTCCTAGTGCCTACACTGCTCCAAGCTCTGAGAATTCTCTCAAGTCGAACCTACGTAGTTCACCAACTCCTCTCACACAAGACCTCCACTCTCCCTAGTGGATTCTTGAGCAGTGGCGGAGCAAGGATTTAATTTTAGCCGGGGCCAAAAAATTTGACATATCAAATTATCAAAAAGAATTCATAATTACACAAATCTATTTGGAAAAATTTTTACTTAACATTTTCAAAGTAACAGGATCGATGTTATTTTAACAAATAATAGTTATTTATTTAAAATTTAGAACATAATATAAAATAAAATTAGTAAAGAGAGTGCAAATTATATATACATATATGAAATTTTCATGTGATTTTTATGCACATTTTCATGTGATATTTGATAACATTATTTCATGTGATGTTAATGAAAGCTTATTTCATGTGATGTTAATGAAAATTGATTTCATGTGATCTTTGTGAATAAATTTTTTTATTTTTTATATTTTAATTTGAGTTGGGCCTACAAACTTTAGTTTGCAACTTGGTAGGCCTTACAAGTCGTATTCGGTTTTTTTAGTTTTTTATAATATAGCAGGCCATAAATCAAGTATTTAATAGGCTAATAGGTCAGTATAGGTTCTAAATATTTTACATAGGCTTAGCCTATCAAAGTCAAAGTTTGGCTTAACTTGGCCCATTTATACCCTTAGTCGTGACCTGTGAAGAACATTAACATAGAGGGACAACAAACTTCACAATTAAAAAGAACCATGGAATAATCAGCGACAAATGTCTAAAATCATTTAAATGACATTTGATCCACATAAATGATTTAATTAGTGTTTAGATATTTTAAAAATTTTAAAAATACAAAAAAAGAAGAAGTTGTTAATGGATATGTATAAAAAAATTTCATACTCCATATATATACATATATCTTCATTGATTTTTCTCTTTAACAGTTTCCACTAATTAATAACCAAAATTCACATTCTTGTTGTGAAATAAAATACAAATAACACCAATAAATAATTCAATTCTATTACCAATAGCAACTGTAGCTCTACATAAAAATAATTTTTATTAAAAAAGGTAAACGTAAAACAACACTTCATTTTTCAGAAGAAATAAAATCAATAACTACAACCACAAAAAAAAAAGTTGTTAATAAAATAAAGGGGGCGTGAATTTCACTTATGTTAGAAACACCCAATAAAATATTATGGTCAGCAAAGACAAAGAATTTCACTTTTATAAGGTTCAAAAATATAAATCAATTTTTTTTGCCAACGGACAATATAATTACCAATGCATGTTCCAAGAATAGGTATCCGTAAAATCTTGAAGAAAGGAACGAAACATCGTGCCTTGTCGCATAATGGCTGGGTTCCGGGTGGTGAGTGCGAATAAGAAAAAAAGGTTAGAAGAAAACCTCAATTCGAAGAAGATGAAAGAAGAAGAAGAAGAAATTAAGAAGAAAGAAATATGTTATATAATCATACACGGAAAGCAGCTCCATATCTTAATTTGTTACCACTGTTACAATTTTAGCTAGGGTTAACTTACAATTTTAACTAGGGCCCAATTATAATTACTTATATAATATAGACACGAAGGAAAGTTCTCACATTTGGGAATTAGATTTTTGACTATTCTTTGTGTGCAATAACCCAAAACACAATAGTTCAATGGACCTTCATATTCCATAATTTTAGCCCTGTTATTCATTTGGTTTCATGATTGTTACTTTCAAGGGTTAAGTGTTTGTTCTTTTAAAGGACACAAATTGTGTCCTTTTAGTTTTTAACACTATGTCTTACCGGTAAGACATAGTTATAACATTAAAAATAGTTTTTTTTTCTCTCCTCATCAGCTGAAGTGACTGAGGAAATAGGAAAAATAATAATTTTTCATATTATAACTATGTTTTACAGGTAATATATAGTGTCAAAAACTAAAATGATACAACCTTGTGTCCTTTAAAAGGAAAAACCCTTTTCCCTACTTTTAAATGTGTTTATTTGGTTTAATTGGGCCCATATTTTGAAATAGGTCAACTAATCATTTTTGTGATTAAGTTTAGAAGTCTTTCTTTTTTAAAATAATAGGAGTAAGAATAAATAACATAACTGATTAGAATAAAGCAGAAAAAAATATGCAGGATAAAAAATAAAAAAAGGTAAAACACAAAAATAACTATACTATACATGTTTCTTATTATTTGTTTGCATTTAGATGGTGTGTTGTTACTTTGTATTGAGTATTTGATTTTCTATTTAGGTGGTGCCAAATTATAATTTTTACCTTAGTTAATTATAATTAATTATATAATAAGTAAAAAAAACAAGCACCTACTGGCTTGGATGTGGCTACGCCACTGTTCTTGAGACTCCAGGCCTTAAGACACACTCTCAAGCCAAGCACAAGGTCGCCAACCCACTCAGTTGCATCCACACACCTAGGACAGATTTTTCACACACACACACTTCACTTTAAACAAACAATACAATATCTTAGATTTATAATAGAAAATTTATCAATCTATTACAAAGTCCTATCACACTTGATATATCAAATAAGGCACAACAAGAATCTCCAGAATTATATGATGTATGCAGAAAATTTAGAGCACAAGTATATGTATCACAAACTTCAAATTTTCAGCAATAAGGAACTTGTATGTAATACTATCAAGTATCTAAATGATGAACACTTAAATTTTTTGATTTAAACAGAAACTATCACAATATATCCAGAAAAATCAGATTTGTAATTTCTCTCAAAATTTCATAAAAATTTCAAAATTAGTTCTAGATAAATATCTTAGTAATAAACTACAAGAAATCTGAATTTTAAGCACAATATACCTCAATTAAAACAGAAAAATCAGATTTAATATTCCAACATTAAAATTTCTAGAACAATTCAAGATTAGTCTTTTAAACAGTAAATCTTGAACAAAAATCTGAATTAACACAATGTATAACAAGGTATAAAAACAAATTTAGATTTGACATTTTGAATCCATCTTTCACAAAAATTAGAAACACAAATATTTCACAAACAACATCAAGATTTCTATTATATTCACTTAAAATCAAAACAGAGAAATCAAAATATTCACAATGTATCAGAATGAAAACAGAAAATCAAATCAACAATATCAAGTCTCAAGAGTATACCAAAGGATGCTCAAAACAAGGTTTAAGATATTACCTCAAGAGATTTCAAATGTTCAGCAAAGTAAATAAATCCTTCCAAACTTGTAGAATCATGAACAACACTCTAAATCACCCAATCTTGACTCAGAAATCGACCAAGAGACTCATCAACAGTGATGCACTTTATTTAGGGTTCAAGAAGAGAAAATTTGTTAATGAAAAATTGGGGATTTTTGGGAGGAAGATGGATACAAGGTTTGTATCAAACACTCACACACACTCTATTTTGTGCATATCCAAGATGAAAGAATTGGAACAACGATTTTCAAAGATGAGAAAGTGAGCTCTGTTTTTTCACGCAAAAATGGCAGAAAGAAAGAACGTTTTACTTTTTTATATACAAATCGAAAGTCTGTGAGTGAAGTTAAAAAAAAATCCTTCTTTCGTTTATTATTATATTGTATATTGTTTTTTTAAAGAAAATTGAACTATCACGTACTATGCGTTAGAAAAAGCAATCAGTGAAACAATATATTATATATTAAAAACCAAAGTTCATATATATATATATATATAATTGATTTAGTTTTATTATATTACTTTTAATTTTTGGTTTTTATTAATACAGATTTTTAATTGATATTTTTTATTAAACTAAATCCATAACAAAACAAATTAATTTTTAAAAAGAAATGCATGTAGCTAAATGCATGTAATGCAATGGAGCTTGGTATCATACTTAGTAATATATCTAATGTGTTACAAAAAAATCTAAAAATTATCTAACCCAAAATTTTAGCATCTTCAAATTGAGTTCTTCATGCTTTTGACATCATTAAAACTATTTAGGCACAATCTTCTATAATGTAGGAGGTCCTTCACAACTGTGTAGTATTTGAGTTTGAATCACTAACTTTATGCTTTGCATGATACATTGGAGTTTACAATTGTGTCACGAAGTGTCGAAACATTAGAAGCGTATGCTCGAGAGACACATATTGGTACATCTCTCTTTGTATATTTTCGCCTTTTGAGCAAGAAAAATGAATTTATGACATGACGAAAGAATATGGAGGGTACTGGGTGGAGAGTATGAAAGAAAGTAGATAAAAAAAAGTTGAAGAGTAGAGACTAGAGAGTAATCTCTCAATAACTGAGCCCGTGGATATGAGAGTATGTATTCGATCCTCCTCAATACTATTTTTGGAAAGAACTTAAAGCCTTAATATTGAACTCGTCCCGAACAGGATTGCCACTCAAGAGAAATAACAATGGTTTATCCAAAAGAAATAAAAAATCTCTCAGTTATAAAAATGATTTGTAACATTTGTGAAAAATGATAGGTATTTAGGCTACTAGGAGATTTTATATACAAGGAGTTAGGTACTTTTTATTTGAATTATTCTTCCAGTGGCAAGAGTAGTTTATTCAATATATAGAGTTTAGCGGTAGGAAATTTGAGGTTTTGGAATTAGCCATTTGGATTGTGCATAAAGGTCTTATGGCTGATCCAAAAAAATTATGAGAGGGGAACAAAAGTTCACAATTTACACCAATTTAGGCAGAGCAATATAGTGACGGTGGATACGTAATAAGATTTAGAAAATTCTCCAACGTTTGGTTGAGGAGAAAATTTTTGAATACTAAGGAAAAGTAATTAGTAGGAAAATGGTTAGAGAGTGAGTTTGGTAGAAAAATGTTAAAAAAGTTGTTTGGTTGGAAAAAAAATTTACAGGGAAAGTTAGGTAAATTTTATAAAGTCTATGTTTGGTTTGAGGCAAAATATAGATGGGGAAATAAGTAGCAATTACAAAAATATTCCTGTTTTAAATTTTTTTGAATCACCTACCCTTTACCTTTACGAAAATAAGTAGCAATTAACAAAATTTGAGGGTATATTGGTCATCTAATTTTTCACTCATTTCTCCATTTAAGTAGACAACCTCCAATACCACGTCTGAATTGGAAATCTGTTGCCTTGCATTTGGGTTCAATAGACATGCAAAGTGGATGGCTGGGGGAGTGATTTTGCTAGTCAAATATTCCAAACTCTTCAATCAAACACAGTCAATGAAGAATCCCACTTCTCCAATGCCTATGTATCTTATCAGATGGCTCCAACCAAATGCCCCCAAGTATTTTTTGTAAACAAGGAATAATAAAAACGAAGCAACTTGAAAGTGAACAATTTCTTTAAGTCTAAATCTATTCTAAGACAAAGATTTGATAAACTTGAAAGGGGACCATCATCTCTCATTACCCCTCGTGACTCCACCACCACATAAAGCTATGCACTTGTAATCTCCTTTTATGTGGTAGAGTTTATACCATCTTAGCCCGTGTAACTGTGTAAGTAACTCTAGTCTATTAGAAATTTGAAGGGTGATCCACATAAATCTTGTGTTTTTATTATGGTTCTCCCTTCATATCAAGTCGCTGCCCAACAATTACCCACTCCTTAAGGAAACAAGACAAAGCAGCGTTGACTACAACAACAGACTTGGATTGAAGCTTGGCACCAATCTATATCATTTTTGTCCAGATTCGCATCCTTTCTCGCATTTGTCCTATTAGAATTGTTCACTACCACTGTTTTATACATATATGCACTAGAAGTGTTCAACAACCGATTCAAATCGATTTAAATCGCGATGACCGAATCGAAAAATCGATAACCGAATAAATCGAAAATCGAAAACCAAAAAACCGAAAGCAGAACAAAACCCCAAATTTTAATTGGATTGGATCGGTTTTCGGATTGGTTGATGAAAACCGATCAAATCCAAACCGATCCAATATATTAATTCTCGTTTACCTACTTAGGTCTTTCCCCAATCATAGTGCAAAAATTTCTAAACCCAAGATCCATTAACCCATCAACTAAACCTAAGAAAAAACCTAGTCACATCTCATCAATAAAATTTCATCTGTGCTAAGTTTTATATCTCATTGTCCAAAAAAAAATTATATTATCGTTCACCGATACTTTTGTATTTCAAAAAAAATAAAATTACAAAGCAAATATATACAAAAATATTATTTGCACAATAATCATGAAATAAATTTTAGGATTTTTAAAAAATCGAAAACCGATCCAATCCAAACTAAAAAAAATTGGATTGGATCGGATCGAATTTGAAAAAAAAAATCCAAACCAAATGGATGATTACATGATCATATCGAAAGAATTGAATCGAATAATTTTTGTTTTCAAAATCGATCCAATCCAGACCGCAATCACCTCTACGTACACACTAATTCTTCTCTAAGATAAAGTTAACAAATGATTTTTCTCAAAGTGAAATCTAACAGTATTTGGCTCGCGCGCAAGCCACTTGTCAATGTTAAAAATATCAATAGTACAGGACCGGTCTCTTTCATTAATCGTTTCAAAACCTGCAAAGAAAAGTCTTTCATGTGGAGAATATTTTAGTCTGTAAATACGGACACGTGTTTTTTTTTAAAAAATACGTATCAGACATAGATATATTCGGATACGCGGTCAACTTTGTGGGACACGTTGACTAATGGAACAGGCGAGTTTGACCGAATTCGACACGCAGTCAACTTATATGGACACATTTTGGGACACGTTTTGACATTTTTTTTGTAAAAATAAAATAAAATTACAATTAAAAAAATAAAAAATATTTAATAAAAATAAAAAATCTGGAACCCTATCCTCTGATCCTCTCTCGCGCTGGAGGCTGCTGGTCGCCTGGTCCTCTTCTTCTTCGCCTGTTCCTTCTCCACTCGTTGGTCATCCTCTACATCTTCGGTAAGTCTCTTTCAATTCTCGTCTTTTTGATTAATGCTAACTAGCTGTTGGAATTATCAGTCCTTCCTACCACTTGATATGACTAGGGGTGGTAAACGAGTCAGGGGCCTTTGGCTCGGCTCGTAAAGGCCTGAGCTCGTTTAATAAAAGCTCGTGTTGGAACCAGGCTTGGACTTGTATAAAAACTCGTTTAATAAAAAAGCCTCAGGCTCTAATTCATAAGCTCGGCCTTAGAGCCTCCCAGGCTAGCCTAGTATATAAATATTTATTTATACTTTTTATACTACTTGTAATAACTCTCTTTCATCAATTTATTTCACTCCATTTTATTGGTTTAATAGACTTTTTGAATGATTTTGTTCTATATTATGCTTTTTAGATATATATTGAATTTATGTATATTTATGGAATTACTAGTGCTGTTCTATATTATCCTTCATCCTCCTTCACACAAACAAACCCACAAAAACTCATTCGTTCCACTGTGCACTGCTCGTTTGTGTCAATTTATTTTTTATTTTATTTTTATTTTTGTTGGCACTTTTTTTATAATGGGCTAAGATAATATAACCTGTTATCTACCTTCTCTCACTTTAATTTTATTTATTTATTGTAGACTTTGTAAATTATTGCTGCAAATTGGAAGCTAAGGTTTCTATCTGGAAATTGATTTTTTGTGGAATTCTGTTTTCTTATTTTTATTCTTTAACATGCTAACAGGCTAAGTCAGGCTTCACACAGGCTTTTATTTTTTTTAAATAAATCAGGCCACATGCCAATATTATATTCGTAACAGGTAACAAGCTAAGGCTAGTCGGACACGTTTAAATACAGGCTTGGCCCGTTAAGATCAAAGCTCGACTCGGCTCGGCCCGTTAACACCCCTAGATAGGACCATGAATTTTCACCTCATACATCTTCGGTCACCATGCTTTTCCAGAATGAAATGACCATAGATTTTCACCTCATTTACTCGACAATTATCGAATTACTGTACACTTATTTATAGGTCGATTTTATAGGTTTGTGATAGAATTCGAATATGTTAAGAAATTACCTTCGGTTATTTTTCTAGTAAAGGTTCTGTCCATAGGCTGTTCACAAGCTTCTGGATATGATTTGACAAATATGTTATCCATCTTACCTCTAGCAAAATAGATTCAATAAGGAAAGAGAACTGAGCCATATCAAACTTAGGTGCGAAGCATCTAATAATTCTCAAGTCATTCACTAGAGATGAAATTATTATGAGTTGTTATATCTATTAAATGTAAACTAGTATATTACCTGTACGATGCACGGAGAAAAAAGATCAAAATTTTTGTTGTCCGTCGTGG